TTCATAGCTGGATGTCGATTCGGGATTGGAACCCTTGGCCATACGAGGAGATAGTGCGCCCCTTGCCACTCTACTATAATAATTCCTTTGTTGGGCTTCATTCACAAGTAATGGTCCTGTATTCTAGGTGTAACACCGCTAATTACTATTCATAGCTTGCTATCATTTAAATTGACGAAGCACTATTGCGATTTTCAGTTAGACTGGTTCTTTTCACAGTTGGTTGATTCTCCTTCTTACTATTCGAACAGAGCCACAATTTTAGCGAAAAAGTGCGCTGAAATTGAAAGCGAAGTTAAAAGGGATTGGGCGAGCGTAAGGGTGAGGGCTGTACGACAAGTTGAGAATCTGGAGTTTGCGACATCAGTCGGGCGACAAAACATAAAACGGTTTTTGCGCATCCCTCATGGACTAGAATTCGCAAAAGGTGTAGTCCAATACCAGTTTCCCGCTTACCACATAAAACCAGTAACTTGATATCGAGCGATAGCCCGCGATCCCACTTAATCTCGTCATCTGTGACTTAACTCTCTGTGCTGCCCATCATTTGTTCCCAGAACTAGGAAGGAATTAGTGTTTCCCGCTGATCGCTAAGTCTACCTGAATCAACATGGGAATCATGACCGGAACTTCGTCGAGTTGAGAGCTTCCTTTCTTGTGAGGGAAATGTTGCTAAAATAACTTCAAGTTCTTGAAAATTCCTTACTCGATCGCTCAAACTCAGTAGAGGAGAAAAACACATTGCAAAGTCTGACCAACGCATGAAAGCGATTCGGATAGGTTTTGCTATGTGACAGAAGCGACAAGATTTGCTCCGAATTCCATGCCTCGCACAACGTACCAGCATCTCGCCTCGTGCATAGCCACCTGCTTTTTCAGTTCCCATTCAATTCTATGGCTAAACGTGGAAAACAATCTGTAAACCTACAGGATCGTTACCATCCTCACCCATCTCTCCCAGCGATACGACCCCAGTGGTTACTTCCCTCATTTGCTACAGTCGTGGCCTAAGATAAAGACATCTTCAAACGAGAGGTTAGGGCCCAGGCTAGAGCACCTTATGACCCTGGTTCTCCCCCTTTTGACCTTATGACCATGGCTCTCTTCTTGGAAATGGTTTTGCCAGTATGTATGGATACTAATGATGATGATGATGTGAAAATTTAAAAAATGATCCGCTTCTATCTACGGAAACTTTGGGTATATCGATCGATACTCCAGGTTTCCTTTCAGCTTCCGTTGTCGTATGTATCTCTTCTATAATATTACCGAAATCACGGAACGAGTCCGGCTTACCATCATCTTTTTTGTCAGCTCAATTTTCCCGTTCTGAGCAAAAGTAAGCTACTATACAACTGCATGTAAAACTTCATTAGTACCCGTGGACATTCAGCCATCATTAAATCTTGCCAATCAAAAAAAGCTGCTAGCGATTCTGGTTCTTCTAATGTCTACATAGCGGACAAGTTATGAATCTTCGCTCAAACATCTTAAAGCGCACTGTCTACCAAGAACCCTTCACATCCCTTTTCCCACCTGCTGAATCCTTCTCATTTCAAAGTTTTCATGGTCTCTAAACTGGAACGAATCGTGGGTTCTTAGTAAACAATAACAGTATAACAGTATATAATAACAGCTTATGTTCACTGACTGTGGGAAGTTCTTCACGCTTTTTGTGTGTTTATCACATCGAACCCTGTTTATTTTCTACAGTCTCTCTAATTTTGTATATTACGCTCCTTTGAGGAAAGCTTTGCTTAATGCAAGTTCTTTTCCATATTACTCGCCCACTCGCCAATATTCCTTAACTGTTTTTCCAGGTTTTCGGGAATCGTTGACGATTTTCTGAATTCGTGATTTGTTAAAGAAAAAATTTCATAGGCACAGATTTTATATGGAGTGAGGCTATTTCGAACTACAGGAAAAATAAGAGGAATCTGAACCATGAAAAAAACTGGATGTGCCATTTATGGCATTGGCATTTATGTGTTTTTTCGAAAAAGGTACATCCAGTTTCTTTGTGATTCAGACTCCTTTGATTTTTACTGACCGTTTGAAAGGCTTCGCTCTTAACAATTTGTTCCCGTGTCTATGAAATTTGAAATCTGACGTAATACTGGCAGATTTTGCCTCTACAATGTTGAGAGGCTCTCGATAGTTTTCATCTTTTTAAAGTTGGTACAATGTACGGGATCGATTTCTAGCCGGATCCTGCCCTTTAATTGCCTAAAGGAGAGACGATGTTCTCATACTTGAACCTTTTGAAAAGGGAAACCAACTGAGTTTGAAAGAGGACAATCGGTAGAACAAACAGCTTCACAAATTCCACAGAACATTATGCATTGGAGCATACTGTTCTCTTGAGGATTTAGGAAGCAAGGTCCGACCTTGACCAAACGTGTCTTTTTTCCCAAGTTGGCTAAAACGGGCATAAACAACTTTTGAGAAGACTTCAGTAACGCTTTCTATGTTTTCTACAATTTTTTCATCATTTCTGCTTGCAAAATTAGCGAGTATACTTCGGTGCTGAAGGCCTTTGTTTTAACGAATCTTCAAGGACTATGTATAATGAGAAACAGTAGATCGATTAGTCACTAAAATATTGCTTAATGTTGCAAGACAGATTGAACTGAAAGTGGAAAATCAGCGAAATGCCATTCGTTTTTTTGAAGTTGCAGCTGCGCTTGACATTTGTTCATTTCGAAGATAACTACGCAATATACGACTGTAACGTTGAAGCGGTCTTACCGTACTTCGACTGCCATGATGTATTGCTGTCCAGCGCTTGATTGAAAGCTCAGTTTAAGTGGCTGGCCAGCTATATAGGGAAACTATTGCATTTTCAAGGTTTATGTGTGTCATGAAATTTTCGTAGTGATCTCAATCGCTCACGTATCCACAATTCAACTAACTGTGAAGCTTTTGCAGTAAGACTGCTGCTGAGAATCAGCTGACGACAGCATAGACGGCAACCCTGAACAGGATCCCTGCTGACGTTGCGCAATAGATACAGGTGCTTTGGGAGCGATTTTGGGACGTCGACTGTCGACTGGAAGAACTTGTTCCGAGGACGCAGCTACAGCCGCTGCGAGCCACTCTATAGCTGCCGGAGCCAACTTGGTCTGAGGTGACCACGCTGCCATTTTCATTCAGATTTTCATTACCGTTTCATTCTTCTCAGGACACCACAGTTCCTGGCCATTTATTTTGGAATGATCCACATATTATTGCTTTCATTGCTATTATTGGTCAACGCTCAATCATATGAAAAAGACTATTCACCATTGCTTGATGTGAGTAATTTACGTACTGTTTTATATTTTATTTATAGCCGGATACCAGTACTTCTCCCTTTTATTTGACGGGCACTTTCAAAATTTACCTAAGTTATCTTTGTTATCTAGCTACCCGTCTTGAAGGCACAATTCTGGGGTAACTAGTTTTAGACGAATAATGAAAGTGATAGTCCAATATAGTGCAAAACTAAAGAAGAGAATGCGAAAATCGACGAGTAGACTTAGGGATCGGACGAGAATGTGGCCACGAAGTTTGGAAGGGGTAGTTGTACGAGCTGTGTGCCCATTGCGTACAGCTGGGTTCAGTAAGCTGCGTGAGTGAAACGTGTATTCTCCTGCGCGGAAGGTGAAATGTTCTCATCCTCCACGAGGTGAGATCTCGTCCTTCTTGGGTGGTAAGTACGTCGATCGAGCCGGTTTCGGAGGCCCTTCTTACGCCCCATCTAGGCCGTTTTTCGACCCGACAGCGTTCCTCGAGCTATCTTCAGGGATCGAAGCTTTGACCTGAGAACGAATCTCAGAAACCATCTTAAACTTGAACTGTGCCTTTAAGTTAGTAGTCGGCAGTTTCGGCACTTACTATCAATACAACGACCCTAAAGGGGTGGCGAGCTTTGTTAACCTTAGCGAGTAACGGTTCAGGATTCGACCCTCGAAGCAATCGTGTGGTACTGTGTGTCATTTGCCACTGCATCAGCTTCTCCCAATCTGAGATTTTGGCAATTATACTGCGTGGCGATGTAAATGTTTCAGTGAAGGATATATTTAAGTAAATCATAGATGTGTGTACATATGCTAGCTCTTCTGGAACATAGTGTTGCTAGACCCTTACATGACTTTCAAACGAAGTGGGCTCATGGTTGCTGCTGATCGAACACCTGCATTTGAATGAATGCAACAATAAAAGTCATTAGCTCGATACTGCTTACGTTAAAATTGGATTCGATGCATAAGTGAAAAGTCCAATACTTGAGGGAGTAAATAAGGCGATATGTTATTGCACCGTGAGCTATTTTCGTGTAGAATTCTATGCTATGTGGCAAGGCTTCTTAGATCTCCAATGGAATGGGTTGGTCAGGCTTCCTACGCGTATGTGAGACGCTGAGAAGCCCTACTGAGCAGCTTCACAGCAGTATTCGTGAAAGATGGAATAGGTAAACGCTGTTGGTCACATGGCCCCGTTGAAATTAAAGAAAACCCAAATTTTGTTAATGCTAGCCTCTAAAACCTACTTTATTACATAAAAGGTTGTGACAGCGTTCCCCAGTTCTGTCGTGACCGCAGTGTAAATCAGCGCCGACGCTGAGTATGAAGGATTGTGGTTAAAGGGTATTTTGATGAACGATTCGGCGACCTCAGTCATATAAGTCATATACACGGTTACGAGAACCGCTAAGTATACTCGCTATTATGGTATATAACTCATTGTGTAGTATATAATGATAAGTCCACCCAGATCTAGTCATCTATTAGCATTGTACATGTGACTTCACTGCTAGTGAGCACAAGCTGCTTTACTGTTCTATCCACAAAGTCTTACTTAAGTGCGTAATCATGCCCCACCACAGTGAATGCCTTTTTGCCTACTGCTTGTGAAATCTGTCACAATTTCTACAGTTACTTGTTTTCTGAGGAGCAGTATTCTAAAATATCGCTTTTCAGCAAAATACTTCACCCTCTAATCCAGGCATATACCTGAGGTTAATGCCAACAGGCCTAGCTTATATGCGCGAAATTGGTATGAAGGTGGTGAACGATCAAGTTGTAAAGCTCTCGTTGCCCACGATTCGAGAGCGGATTGAAAATGGCGAGGTAAGACAAGTGCGTTACGTTTACTTCATATCATTCTTCACTTCGATATCTGGTCATATCTTTTGATGACATCCTTCACTTATTCATTTAAGCCATATCCATATGAAGTTGTAATGCACAACTTTTTTTTCTATTAGGCTTTTCTATTAAAAAAGCCTTTCACTGCTTTTCGATTAGTTCTGGACGGCCTCTTCGAACATGAATATATTCGTATACACCTGGACTAATTACAATGCCATGACGAGTATCCAAACCCAACTCTAACCAAATCAAATGTTCGTCTCCTTCCCTCACATCCAGATCACGAAAAAAAAGCTTCTCCGAAGGGCTAATAAGTGGAGATCGTTAACTAGCTGTAAGCTTTTAATCGCCTCTAGTGATAATAGGTCCTGTTTGGAGGGGCTTTCTACGACTAGCTCAGCAAAGCGATCCCTTGTGTGGGTGAAACGAGATAATCCCACAGCGCAAAGATTGTAGCGACTTCGATACATTCTTGGTGTAGATCGAGTCGAGTAGGGCTATCCATTCTACCTAGGTCTTCAATGAGTACCTAATCTATCCCATTCTCTCCAACAACTTTGTCGTTCGATTCTTACTCCATGTTCCAATCTTCTCGCCTGCCGACTATGGTGAGCGTCGTGGAAGCTTTCGTTTTTTCAACAATCGACCAGACCTGTCCTATTGATGGCTAGCTAGAGGACATAACTGACGGTAATGATTGGTTCCGTTATGGAACGTCAAGGTGGTGATCAGATACGTGAACCCTCAAGTCTGCTGAGAATTACTGACAGATTGCTTACTCATAGTGTACACTGGATATCGAGTGCTATAGTGAAACCGCCGTGAGATTAATTCGGTGCCGAAGAAATCGAAACAACTTGCTGCTTGATTCAGCGCCCATGAGTGAATGAAGGGAACGTGTTTTAGGCGCTAAGAAACCGCTTCAGTTCACAATACTTGTTTCCGCCGTAATACACTAGTGTCCGGAAAATTTTGAAAAAAATTGGGCAGTTTGTTCAACGAAACGTAAGTAAGCTCCGTTAATCAGAATCATAGCACTAATCTCTCCAACAACGGCAAGAAAATTACGAGGGGAAAGAAGTTAACGAGATGATTCACCGACCGTCTTCCTGAATGCTTTTCGCCTTCCGCCGCTTTCAGAGATGAAAAAATGGTATCTCAAGAATTAAAATCACACGGATGCGGAGTAGCCGTAGTTCTGGAGGTAGTCAGTCATTGCTTGCTCGCGGGTATTCGGACTCTGCCTTCGACAATGGGATTTTGTCCACCACCGGTGCAAAATGAGTGGCCCATCATTTTTCATGGCTTGAATATCCGTACAGATTTTCCGTAAAATATCAGTGCGGGATGAAGTACAATCAAAGCAAAAGCTCTGCTAGAGAGAACGGGCTTTTTCTCCTAGCTACATGAATCAGAGCCGTCGCAATTTGCCTGTTTTCCCTATGACATTCACTTTCCTTCTTGAAGGCACTGTACTTCCTACGTGTCGTTCCTTCACTATCAGAGCGCTTCTGATCCTCACTCGGCATCCGCTTACGGTGAAATGCTGTTATATAATCCTAGGAACCATTTTCCTGGGAAAAATTATAGATGCCGATAAGGAGAGTGAAAGGAAATGAGGAGGACTGTCCCTCAAGAATAACTGTATTTCTAGGAACCATTTTCCTGGGAAGTTCTCTAGATCCTAGAGCATTGTCGCACTGGGAATAGAACACCAAGGATGCAATTCATGAAATCGTGCCATTATCAAAAAGCAGCAGTCCTGGGTTTCATCTCCCAACCCATCTCTTTCTATTATCATGTGATTCACACTGTTCATTGCGTTCGCTGGTTCATGGAATCGTATTGAATCGCCAAAGCTACCCGTTGGTGCGCTTTTCTGAACCCAACACAGGGAAGGGAGAACATCGAACAGTAGTTCATTAAAAATCTCATTGCACCGCTGCTTCAATTAGGGACTGGACCGGCGATCAAACTGCAGTAAGGTTTCGAGAGTCAAAGTTTCTTCTATCTATCGTGTCAAGCTTTTGGGCAAATCTGATGAGTGTATTTACTAGTTTTCGGGATACCTCCACCACTTTTCCATCTTCCATGTGGAACTTGAATACGTACTAAGCTCTTAATCTCGAACTCATCTAATGCTGAACGCTATGAGTTGCTTCGACTCGACCAGATCATGCAGGGCATCAGCCATTTTTTTGCTTTTGTTACAGCTATCATTGTAGGTAGCAAATGAATAGCATTTGAAACAACTGCTATGTTGGATGTTAGTCATATGCGCGGCGCATCCATTGGTGTTGTATGTGAACATATTTACGTAGTTTCTAAGATTGAAGAGAAGTTCTTTCTAGGTATTCATCTACAACGCTCGTATCTCGAAATACTGGCCACCTCAAGAATACTCGTTAGATCTCGTCGAACCGAACATGTTCCAGTGGAGCATGTCGAAGATGCATATTAGGTTTGTGCTCAAGCTTTCTTCATTCTGTCAGTGTTCTATGTCGGACTCGTAAAGTTCGTTAATGCTTTGAGAATTTTGTAAAGCTTATTCAAGAAGTATAGGAAGGGAATTCAGTTACAATGTCACGAGTCATAGCGTGCGATCCGCACAGCTGCTTGTATATTTTTTGTTAAGGCGTTGTATTTGATACGTATAAAAGAACCGTCAAACTCCATAAGCATCTGCTGACATCCATTGAGGGTCAACCTCAAATCAATAAGATGGGGATAGAGACATTTTCAAACATGCAGGGAACAATACAACAGTTTGCTCAAACTCGAGCAAATAAATCAGACGTTCCAAAGCGTTCGAATAACGAACTTTCGAGATTGTTTTTAAATGGATTTTCTATATCTTATTTTCATAAACGGTTGAACCGCATACTGAAATGGGGAGCGAGTCCATAGCGTTTTTATATTTCCTTTATTATTTATTTTTTATACTTCCTTGATGCATAAGTGGTGTGGTGGCAAGTGGCGCACTTCACACACGCATTGTCACATGTTCGAATCCCGGATCGATATCCGCCTAGGCCGACCAGGCTTTCCATCTCTCCGGGGTCGGTTAATTGGTACCAGACATGTCTGGGAGGATAAAAGCACTGAATTGTACATCGGCTGACCATCGCAAGTCATTGTATAGGCCACATACGCGTTCAACACGCCACTACGATTCTGAATGGAGATCAAATGCGGGGGCGCACCCCTCACATGGAATTGACTAACGCCAAAAACTTTATCCTTTTATTCTTCAACTTCTTTAATATTTCTTTGTTTTACTACGGTTTCTTGCTGTTTGGAGAAATGTGAAATCTGTTATTTTTTCATTCGATAGAGCTGTTTCTGCTCTACGAAACCGTGCCCGTAGTCTTTTTCGAGTAAGTCTATTCTTAACTACTTTTTAGGCATAGAAATGGAATACACGGGAGGTGAAAATCGATATTGTCGAAATCCGCTCTTCCTCTCTCTTCATAAAGCCCAAAACTCTACTCAAGCAGACCAGGACATTCGCATCCTACATAGGGTCATACGAACGTATCATAGGTGATTTCAGAGCACGAAAATGGCTTGCAAACTTCGAAAATGGCGATTTTGACCTTGAAATCTGAAGAAAACTATGATCATGAACTGTGTTTGGGGGGGGGGGG